GATCACTGGTCAATCTCATAAAATATCATATGAATATTGAGCATTTTATAGCCGAACAGAAAAGGTCGAACAACACCAATAAACATGCAAAGACCACAATATGATCAATGTTTGAGAGTCATAGATAAAACCATTATAAACTGATAATTGGTAGATCAAATTTAGAATAAAAACGCAAGATTCCCATAGCACCCGAATGAGGCTAGTTTAGTATTGTGATAAGTTAATGTAATGAATGTCTTTCTAATGTTTTGTATGTTTTTGTTGTTGTTCAGAAAGCTCGTCCTTGTTTTCACGAAGTGACGGTAGTGAGGAAAATCGTAACGCAAAGTGAATGCAATTTGTTTTCACTACCGTCACTTCGTGAAAACAGCTGTTTACAAAATTATGAATATTTAGATTAAGCTGAGCTGTAAACAGATTGACCAACAGTAATACAATTATTCCAATGGTCACTCCACACTCCTTGATTGTGAAGTCACAATTATATTCATTAAAAGACTTTGTCAAATTATAGAGTTATTTAGAGCACGAAATGCTCGGGTGTTCAAGTATGGCACTTTCGCTAATTGGGGGTGTAACATAGTACCTCCAGATTAAGTTGATATTTATTAAAGATAAAGTTGAGTTCTGGGACCCGTTTCACAAAGCCTTTTATCTATGACAAATGACAAAAATCAGTGACAAAACTGCTGATGACCAATCAGAAGCAAGGATTTCACTAGCTTATAACAAAAACTGTCATTTGTCAGTTGTCACTGATGACAAGTTTTGTGAAACGCCCCCTTGTCATGCGATTGCACTGTGAAAGAAACGATGTGAAATTGATCAGAAAAAGTTGATCATGTAGCATTTAAGAATTGGGGTGTTAACTGCGAGGTTCTGAAGTCATCAAAATGATAAAAAAATTGGCCCACCTAGTCTTGGTAAAGTAACAAGCACTACACACAGAAAGATTATTAGACAACATAAACATGTGGCATAAATATCAGGCCTCATTTTAAAGCTGTTTTTCAAAATTGGTTATTTCAAATAAAACTTTCATCACGGGCGTTTAGCCGAATTACAAAAGTTTACAAACAAAATTAATAACACATAATATATAACATAGCATAAAATGATATATTGAATCTGAAAAATAAATCAGTATAAATACGAGAAATATAGCCTATTGCAACATAATTATGGAAACACAAATTAGAAAGTAATCAGAATTAGCATAAAGTAACATAATTCTATACATTGAAATCATGTGGAAAAAAAAGGACTGAAGTAAGCAGTAAACGGTGAATAGAGCAAGACTGTATATGTGGTGGAAAATATCGACAGTAGAACTGAAAAACGAGGAGGAAAGTTTGCAAATTCGATGTAAATTATTTGAATTAAGAGTGGGAGAGATTTGAAGAGGAAGAGCGCGGGAAAGGTATAGAAAAAAAAGCAATAGAAAGCGACAATGTTATTTGTTATATTTAAAGTATGAAAGCATTTGAAGACCATGCTTTTCAGAAAACATATTTTCTCTGATGTTCTTCCAAACTTGCATAATAACAATGATAATGCTCACAAAATTGTCCACCTCTCCCCAGAACTCAACTTTCTCTTTAGGAGAAAGAGGGGGGGGGGGGGTTCACCGGACCGTAAACAGACGTCATTCTATCCGTTGTACTTAGACTGGAAGTCGGAAATCAGGTCGTATTTTGCCAGACTGCTAGATTAAAGAAAGTGGTAAGCTCTAACTCCCATTGTAAGTCGTTAAGTATAAGTTTTGTTGTAAAAACATAACCACACTGTTGAATCTCAACAATGCTTCATCAACGAAATTTCTTCTTATAGAGGGTTTAATGGCGACGTTTTTTTTAAAGCAGAGCAGACCAGAATTAGTGTTCTTTACTCGGATTTATTTGCGGTTGAATAACCGAGCGGAGAAAAGGCGATTGCTTCTTGACTTGCACTTTTTTTGTAAGAGTGGATGCAGGCCTGAGTGGATGAGATATTACCTTTAAGTCATTCACAGTCTCACCTATATCAATAACAATTACCGTACTTCCAAAGTACACGTGATTGAATAAAGTAAAATGTATTCAAAATTTATTGTTTGGGTTGTGACTAAATATTCAACAAAGAAAAACACCTTGCGATACATTTATCTATATATAAAAAGAAATCCCATCTGTGAATTATTTTATACTCCCCTCGTATATAACAATATAATAATAATAATAATGGGTTCTTATATATAGGGCTTATTAAGAATGTCTGACCAAAGAGATATCCTCCTTGGTCAGACACTCGTTGGTGCTCTTCGACTAGAGGCTTGATACCCCGGCTTTATTACGAGTTCTTACTATTAAAAAAATATAGAAAAAATAAAAATAAAATAAAAATAAAAATAAAAATAAAAATAGGGGACATAATGCTGAAACAAATTGAATGTAGGCCTATACAAATTAAGAGTAAAAACGTCTTTTAAATTACAATACATTAAAAGTTGTTTTAATAAAATACGATAAACAAAATAGGATTAAAGGTAATACAAAGTTTTGGTATGGGGTCATGAATTTGGTTCAAATGAATATATTGGAAGCATATACGATCCTACTATATTCAGTGATCGTTGTCGCGGTCGAAATCGACTCTAAAGTTATGAAATTGTAAATAATAAACATTTTATGTTAAATAGCTCCCTCTCAAGGTCAATATATTAATTAAGCTATAAAACAATGGTTATTGACTAAAATCAACCGATTAGCTGTTGTCGTTCGAAAATTAAATACCACAACTACATACTCTGAGATTTTCATGGTCTCAGCTACCATTGTACGGCCGTAGGAGCTATTTGAAATTTATTGAAATTTACCGGGAGCACCGGTAAATCTTTATATTCAATTTTTCTCGAAAGCAGAAGTGTTTTAGGGGTTAACATTTCTGGTGTTTTTAATACAACCACAGGGGCATCCAAATATATCAAAATTGTAAAGAATCACTATCCACCCATTTTCAAAATTTCCCAAAACTTTGTAATACCTTTAACATTTAAAGCGATAAAACAGAGAAATGAAGAATAAATTAATAGAAGGAAAAGAAAAGGAGTTTGATGGAGAAATGGAAACAAATTTATGTAGAAAACAATGCACATACATTTTTTTTACAAAAAACATGAAGATTTAAATTTCAACTACAATCTGGTATTCTCTTTCTTCTCACCCCATCAAAGTCTTTTCAGTATTATATTTTCAAGCAGTTTACAGTTATATAGATTCATTGATTAGAACAGGGACTGTATCCCAAGTCCCTGATTAGAACTTGCACTATATACTACAAGTCCAATTTACTGCCTCTGCTGATTATTGAGCTTAGGGCCTACCTGTATTACAAGTTTTAACTTTCGGGAAAATGGGACCGGGGCATAATGATAAGGTAATTATCATCATCTTGGCCTTTACACTGCATAATAATGTTTAAAATCAAATCAAATCAAATCAAATCAAAATCAAATATGTAAACTTGAATAGAATTCACAATAATTATACCTTCAATAAACAGGTACAAACAAAAAGTACCAATATAGTTTTATGATTTAAAAAGGATGATTACTTTATAAATCACTGGGGAACACATAGTATCAAAGCCAAACTAAACTCTACCGGCAAATTCAGAGGGGGCCAGGGTGCCTTGGCCCGTTCCCCATAACATTTTGGATGTCTTTTAAACCGGGCTTTTAAACAATGGTTTCATTTTGAGATTTTTATTTTATTTTTTAAACGCACAAACAGAAAGACTCACAGGAGGCCCGATAGCTCAGTCCAGGGGCGTACGCAGGGGGGGGGGGGGTTGGGGGTTCAACCCCCCCTTTGGTATTTTTATGTATGTAAACCCCCTAAACCCCCCCCCCCCCCACTGAGCAACTTTTCGGCCGGCGCGATTTTCAAATTTTCGGGAGCAAAATATTTTGGGCCAGATTTTAAACCCCCCCCCCCCTTGAAAAAATACAAGCATTTATGCTCTCTTAGCAGTCAGGTAAAATAACTACCACCATTCAATACAAAATAAAAGCAAATCAAAAATATGTCCTCGGAAACTATTATGCTGATCGTGAGAGCGATATACGATAAATAAATTCTCAAAAATTAGAGAAAATATCAAAGATTTAGTGGGGGGAAAAAGGTCATGAAGTCTTCAAATTACCAGTAAAGAGATTTACTGACAGCAATTCTGAGAAGGGGTGGGCCTATCACATCCCCATATCAGTCCCTTCCCCTCTCTCTACCCCCGCCCTTGATCGTAGCTCCTAGCGTTTATATCGACCCTGTAAAAGTGATAGGAAATGTGTTTTTCTTTATTTTTAGTTTTGTTATCAATTAATCTATTACTGCAATCTTTTAAGCATTAACAGCTTATCTTAGCTAACAATGAAAGCGCCAAACGAGCCATTAATTATTATTATTATTATTATTATTTTTTTTTTTGGGGGGGGGGGGGTCTCGAGGGGGAAAGGTGGGGCATTTTCTTTTCATTTGAATAATGTTGGAGTTATCCATTAATAAATGAGTTTATGTTTATTTTCAAATTCCAAGTCAGGAGCATGTCGAAATGTTTGAATTGCTCTAGGTGTCGTTGCCTAGTAGTAGAGCCCCCGGCCATTTTTGGTGAAGTTTGGCTTCTTCTAGCAATTTCTCATCCGGAGAGGAATTTCTGTTTATGAAGTTTAAGAGCAAGAGCATTCTAATGATTAATTACACAGAGGTATCCCTTCTCATATTACTTGGCGATAGGCTTCTTCTCGTTGGAGGGAGGGGGCAACCGGGGGTGGAGGGGGGGGGGGGGGGGCAATTGCACCCATTTATAGCTGATCTGGGGAGCAGAGACTCAAACTCGCGCGGCGAAGTTTCGCTTCTCCCAGAATCCTCTGTTCTTTTCGTCGCCGCCATTATTCGACCTCGCTCGGTCGAATGTTGTTACGAACACACGCTACACAATCGTCGCCTCTATTCTGTATGGCTAGCTCGCCTGAAACCGCGGCCGCAATCGTACAGTGCAGTGCGCACGGTACTACGAAACGGAGCGTATTGAATGTTCGCTGAATGAATGCGTTGCGCAGGCGAGCGTCGTATGCTAGCTACAGCTATTGTGTTTGTGTGTATATTTATGTGTGCGATTCAATTTTGCATTTAGATTGCTTACACGGACAGTACGCAACCCGTTCATGTATCAACTACCTGCCTCAGTCTTTTAGCTCTTCTGATCTGTAGCCTCTCTCATCTCTATTCTCTACATTTCTATCCTGATCACCTTCTTCTTCATTCCCTGAGAAATGGACGGGTGAGTAGCCTGAAGGGGAGTGGACAAAATTCCACTATCCCGTCACCCCAAAATCATGATTTTCCAAAACGTGTCTTCTTTTTCCATGCCTCGTGCTTTATGCGTGGGGCTAGCTTGGCTCATTGCAAAACGAATGCATTGTCACCGTAGTATACACACACTCGATCTAGGCATTCTGCTACCGCGTCCGATCCAAAACGTTCAGCGGGAAAACTTCATTCGAAAATGAGTGACTATCTTGCATAACCAACAAAATGGTGCGGTATTTATTTTGATTGAATTGCTCAAAAATTATATCAAATGATGTAAATAAATCAAGTTTAAAATTGCGCCTCTGTCTTGCTCAAATTGTAATGAAAACTGCTCGTTGACGGGATTAATTGGCTTCTGTCTCGCACGAAAAAAACGAGTGACAATGCGGGACATTTTGAACAGTATGTGGGTGCATGCATTGGAAGTTGCATTCGCCATGAGATGTGCTATGTAATGTGTCGGTGTCGGTGACGATTGGTGTGTGAAGCTAAACACTCTTTTTGATGAGCTGAGACAGTGAGAGATGTAAAACTTTAAATTCAGCTCTTTCCATTGCTAAATGCCTAAATCGTGCAACTTGAGTTGAAGAATGTCACTAAAATTTGATTCATTTTCATTGAGATGATAATTAAAATTAAAAATTGCCAAATGGTGTTTTTTTTGGGGGGGGGGGCAGGGCTTAAATTAATCCCAAGGCCATGGCCGTGGATGCCCTTTTGATTGGCCTTTTCATTGGCCTTGGAGATTTTTTGTGCCCTTTCCAATTATTCCTATTTGTGCTGTAATATAGGAATGTGCCCTTGGTAGGGTCTACAGAAAAGTGGCCTTGCCCTAAAAATATTGAAATTTAAGGGGGGGGGGGGTGTTGGTATTTGCTCAAGTGAGGGTGTACCCTGTGCTGTCTTGGCTATGGCTGAAGGCCCCTAGCCGCAAGACATGACATAGACTCTAGGCTGGAGTTTCATGTAGGGGAGGGGGGGGGGGCAGGAAAATGGGGGCTGCTCGCTATTTAAAAAGACATAAGATGAGGACTGCTATTCGTAAGGACTACTATTCATAAGGACCGCTATTCATAAGGACCGTTACTCATAGTCAAAGGAGACGGTCGCTATTCGTAATATGAGAAGAGGGTCGCTATGATAGGGGTCCCTATTCATTATACAAGAAGAGGGTCGCTATTCACCAGTAATGGCCCTTATGAGTAGTGACCCCCCAATATAAATCATGAATAGCGACCCCGATCTCGTATTATAAATAGCGGTCCTTTTTAGTACTGCCCTCATCCCACATTATGAATAGCGGTCCTTCATGTATAAGAAGTAAAATGTTATGACTAGCGAGGTTACCCCAAGGGAAACGTACTATACAAACCCTGACATTCTACACAGTTAAGTCCAAAGAATGATAATGAAAACAACAAACAAACAAACAAAAACAATGAAGTGAATGTTAAAAAATTACATTAAAACCTGTACATTGTAAGAAACTCAAAGTCTTAAACAGTTTTTCTGTTTTCCTACATACCGGTAGTTTCAGGATCAGTAAGAAAAGTGATTTTGAAGTTTTGGTCATTATATTGAGTTGCATGTGAAGGAAATATGTGGGCAATGATCATCTAACATCAAGCCCCAAAGGACCGGTGGCGGGTAGGGTGGGGGTATTGCGACCCCTAAAAGATCTCTTTGCGAGCAAGCTCAAGAGGGTATTCCCCATCCACTTATTAAAAAAAAAAAGAAGGAAGGAACTTGGGACATTACATTGTATACTATATTATAGTCAACATTCAAGGAAGCACTATCTACATGTTAGTCTCCAGTGACCCATTTAGAGCATTACGTCAGCTGCTCTGCAAGAAGGCTGTCACTGCTATTTAAAACACATAGCTCTTGGCTCTGGTTCCTGTATTTAAAGCTAATCTTTGGCTCAGGTAGGGGCATCGTATATCGAGACTCTGGAGAATATGGCTGTAATTCATTCAGGATTGTTTATCCTGTAGTAGATCGATTGTTTGAACCAGTAAAATAACAAACTCACAAGAATTTACTGGCCATTATCTTCTATAAAAACCACAACTCTCATTTGCACATATCTGTGACCTGTGTTATTTTAAGACATGGCATCAGGCTTACTTACCTTGATTTCCTTATCTTTCTATACTCATTACTCAGCCCCTGTACATTTCCTACCAAAATCGTTTGTTGTGTCATTTGTTTGTAATCTTCAACGTAAGTTTTGTTGCATTCTGTGAGAATATATTTTCTATCATAACCAGAACTCATGCAGAAAATAAGAGAATTGTGTACTAATTTACATGGAGATCATTCACTGTTTAGCAATATTCTATCAAGAACTACAGTTTTGTTTCACTTGGGCCTAAGTTAAGTGGAGGAGAAAGTTATAAATATGTGTGGCTGTGAGTGGCAACATATATGCCAGAGGTTATTTAGTGCTCTGAATGATCTGATCCAGTATGCCATATTGCTTGCAAAGTACAATCATGATTAAGTATGAGCTCACTGTCTGAACCAAAATTCTGATCAATTTAAAACATTTCATTATTTTTAATTTTATAGATGCCCTGGTTGTATCTCTATGGGACCCCCCCCCCCAATGTAACAAATCACATTCTAAAAAAGATTTGCAAACCAGGATTTATAACAGAATCCAATTATACTCAAAAGCTTTCTTTGCAACCCATCAAAGTCAGTTGAAAGGTTTCATAATAATGACTTCATACCTGTACATGTGTACATTGTGTGTTTTAGATCGACGGACATCTTGGCAATATCATCTGAAACTGACTTGTGCAGTGAAGTTCAACTGTGAGTAGATAATTCAATACCTTTTGTGTGTATTTAGCCTAGATATATACCTTCTGAACTGGACATTGGGTGGGACTACATATGGTTTTAATTTCCATGAACCTTGATTAGAAATTGTTATTGAAGGTTGTGAATCCCATCATGTTGCTCCATTTGATCTATATGTTTTCGCAAGCAATTTTAGACAGTATTTCAGAGTAGTAGGTGACATGTCTACAAAACTCAATATTGATGCATGATGTTGAGGGGGAGTTGGGTATTTGCTTGAACTTGTAATGTAAATTTCAGTGAGTATGTCTATTGGAACTTGTAGTCTACGGGCTCAGACTCTGTCTCATTTCTTTGAAGAATTGATTTATTGTGTGCACAGTTGCTTGAAAAGCTGTCATCAAATAACGTGGAATTTTGTTGCTGATTAGTCTTAACCATCATGTTATTGCTTGTAAATAACACCTAATGATCCAATTGATGGTTTATAGAAACTATTTCATCTCTCTATTTTAGTGACAATATGATTTAATCATATCAAATCTAAATTATGACAAAGCATGGTTAATGACTGTGCATTTGTGGCTGCAAACACAGATATTTCACAAATGACATATTTTATGCGCATCTAATGTAGATGCAAACACCAATTAGAAGGCTGACTTTGAATGTGTAATGATAATTACCCATGTATTTTCCTTTCACTAATATGACAGTAAAAATCTGTTTAGAGCAAAATGTTGTTTACTCTGTATTAAAATATACAAGGTAATGCCCTTCTGGCTCAAAACAGACATAAATAATTTTCATGATACTATTTCAGGTTTTCATGTCACATGATCTGCACATTCATTTTTCCTCATACAGGTCATGCCACATATCAGATACCATAACATTTATCAGAATGAGGAAGGACGCTTCATAAATTGTGCTTAAATACAGAGAATTAAATGACCTGGCTCATGACCTTTGTGTTGAATAGCTTGCGATATCGCTGAGTGATTCTATTTGATGGGCTAGTGATTATTGTTTGCGTAGTCTGCTAGCATTGGAGTAAATTCAGAGCAGAGCTTTGTGGCGGGAAATCTCCCACATATTAAACTTTATTGAAAGAGCACCGTCTCTCATTTTTGCTCCCGGATACAGCCTTTGAGAAGATGATGCGATTGATATTATTGAATAAAGGAAATTTTTAGTAAGTTTGCCACTAAGATACTACTTGTAACAGAAGAGGAAATAAAAATTAAATTGTAATGTAAAATTCTGTGAAATAACCAGACACGATCAGAAAATTGAATAAAAGGAAATTTGAATCCGTGGTAATGTTTGTAAGTGAAATATCATAGAAATTGCCTCTGAGAAACATCTTTAAAGAACTGTTACAGAAAACAACATCAGCAACAACAGCAACAAAACCACGATAAAAACAAAACCACAACAACAACATGTTTATTTTTGGTTTGTGAAAGAAGCACAACCCATGCCTCCAAATCCCAATACTGCAAAATATAATTCTAGGTACAGTATAAACCTTTGCCACATTGTACATGAATTTTGGGATGCATACATCTGCTTTTTGCCAAGTTTTTTTAGTGATGAAACCTGACATTATGTGAACGCTTGTATGTCACGACTTGCTTCTTTTCTATTTCTAACTGCAATACTTCCCCTTTCCCAATCGGAGGCGGTGTTAGAAGGCACAGTTTAATCTTCAAATCGTTCAATAATAAAGAATAGAAAAAAAATGGGTCCACCTCTCCTCCCCCACAGCTGGTTAATTTATTGTAGAAGTACCTAGAGAATAACCTGTGCCAGTCTTAAAAATAAGATATTTTTTGTTCTCTCCACCCACCTCTCTGGGCATTATGCGAATGCCAGATGTGCTCCCTTTGAATGAAAGCAAGAACGTTGCCCTTGCCTAAGCCCTAATCCGTGGGATGTTTGTGTTGTGTGTTCTTGATTTGAAATGTGTCTAGCTGGCAATTCCATGGTGTAAAACTTGACTACCCCCAAGAAGGTGATCGAGGAAACAACTTCAAGGGTTGCCGCTCAGCTAGCCCGCTTCCTTAGGGCAACACTAAATGGCTCAGATATCCTAAGGGCAACTGATAGCCCTGATTTGCACTAAGAAGTAGCTCAAGCTACAATGTAGTAACGGTTGGGTAATTTCCCCTGATCAGAAAACATGCCCATTTTTTTTAATGGCAGATGGGCAAGCATATTGCCTTGTTTGGAACCGCAAAGGCATCAAATCAATTCTGTGCAAAATGATGAATTATTGCTCTTTTGGCTCAAGCATTTTCTGTGGAGTTGTTGGTCTAGCAAGGTCTGCAAAGAGCAAATCACTTTGGTTATTTTTTTGTTAATAGGAAGTCCTTAGTTCCCCTCCTCCCTGTAAAGAAGTTTGAAAGAGTGAAAAGAAGTGAGGTACATTAATTCTTTGTTTCATTGTTATTGAGAATAAAATTTGACTTAAATTGAGTCTTGGGAGCTTTATCAGAAAGAAAATATAAAGGAAACAAAAATTTATAAAAAGAAAAAATGAATTATTTGAATGAGGTACATGTAGGATGAAGAAAAAAAAATGAAAAAAATGAAAATAGACTTACGAAAACTACCCTGGATAATGCTGTTGAGTCATCAGCAAAGAGTTTATAGTTATTTAATTTATCAAGATTATCAATTATATCAAATTAAATGTGTCATTAAAGTAGCAATCTCGGTCTTTTTCCTGTTCAAATGTCTTCTGTATTCTATTTCAGGATATGATATTTGTTTTGCAAATCACTTATACTGTCATAATTAAAACCCTTTCCTGAGTAATGTCTTTCTTGACCTTAGAAACTGCATTTAGATAGTAACATAAGCAATTCAAAGTTTATAATGCCATTTAACTAATGTACATGTAACTGCTAATGTTTGCATTGACATACCAACAAGAGTGATTTTTAAATTACCTCCACCTTGAAAGCTTTCAAGGAATACATACTGTACAACGTTTAATGTACCGGTAAATCTGCAAATTTTTATAAGATCTGACTCGTAAATAGAGAATCATTAGTATGATAATGACTCATTGCTTATTACCTCTTGTAATGTTACTTTCTTTTGATTGAAGATTTATAAACAACCTGAGTCACAATGTCCATCTACATGTATCTACGTCCCATAGCTCGGAGGCCGTCGATTCACCTTCTGGAATAAAATGCTCTCATAGGCATCACAGCCTGTTAACAAGATAGCAATACATTAATGAGGATTTTTAGTGAATGATGTAATGTAGCTCTCGAAACTGGATGATTGAAAAGAGTGCCGGAAAACTGAAAAAAAAGTTACTAGTAAAACAAGGAATTTCAGAAAGAGTGCAGTGCCAATATCTCACTCAAACTCATATCTGGAAAGAGGTCCCATGACAAAGAAGTATGCTATTTTGAACAGTCCAACTAGCTTGGGATTTGATTTTCGTGTATGTGTATCTATCATCTTTGGACTTATAGTCCATACATGTACTATCATTGAACAGGTGCGCTATGTAGCCAAATCAAATGTCAATTGGATAGAGGAAGTGGGTAATAATGAAATTGCTCTGATTGTGTTGCTGTGCATTCCTGTGGATTTTTACCTGTGGCCATACCGCGATGCAGGGATAACCAATGCCTGTCTTTGGCTTTCTCATATTCATATTCTCAATTCCCTAATCTTCGTTTCGCGGTTTGCATTTCCAATCCGTGAACGCGTGATGCGTATGAATGTGTCGTTTATTATTCATGTAGGTCACGATTCCTCCAAGTTATTGGTGTGTGTGTGTTTTTGTTGGGAGGGGGGGGGGGGGGGCACAGAGCCTCTTTTGGGACGGCAATTTTGAAATTATTCCGCCATAGAGTCATATTCAATTGCACTAATGTAGTCATGGCATTGTCTTTTTCCATGTACGCCTTTTTATAGATATTGCATTTTGCCGTTGCTCTCTTACTGCTGTGCGACTGTGCAGTGAGGCGTGTACACACTTTGCAGGCTCCACAATGGTAATTGTTGTACGCAGTGTGCGACTTTTGAACCGAATGTACTGTCTCTTGTCTGGGACTGAGTAAACAGTCTGCTGTTCCGCATTGGAGACTTTCTTTGGTATTGCTCACATTTTTTGTTTGGCTTGCTATGAATTTGGACCCCATGTAGAATCTTCCATTTGACTAAAACAGAAAAAGTCTCCATTTCATTTCAGCACTTGCACTGATTAGATGCAGTGAGGTAATTTTTCAACTGTAGTAATGACAGGAAATAAGTTTTAATATGATCAAACCGAACTTGCTGTGTTTGTACTAGGCCACAGTTCTGTCAATTATCATGGTTCTTTTTTTTTGTAACTGAGTACTTTTTATCAAAAGATGATGAAGTTTTGCTTGGCCTGTTTAGCCTTTAGTCTTAACCTATAAGAAGTGGTATTGCAGGCAAATGTAAGGTTGTGTTCTTCACTTCTGTAACTCTACTTTTGAAAAGACCATGTGATTTAATACATTATTGATTTTCTTAACAAAACAACAACAACACATTTGCTGTATTATAAACACTTCAGAACTACTTTAAACCAGTTTGTTTTGAAATGTAATTCCACTTTACCAAAACTCAATCTTTGCTTTTGAGGTCTGAAAATAGATCTTAGACAGAGTAGACATTATAACTGTAGGGATCTGAACTGCCAAATTATAAATTTACAAATAGTACACATATGTACAGTATGCATGATCATCGTCATGGCAAATAGTATGTTGTAGACTATCAATATGATGGCATACAAAAATAATGCATGGTGCACCCGCAAACCTACTGTATAAAATATACTTGTTTTTGTAGAGCTCTTCATTAGACCTTGTGGATAATTTTCCCTGATTTTTGTGAATTGTGTTTGTGATTAGGTTTTGTATGTGGTAAATAACTGTAAATGCATCTGCATGCGTTAACAGTACATGTACTTTGTCACAAAAGAGTATAAATCGTGTGCGGAGTTCAAATAC